CTCTATCCTTCCCTTAGTGAAAGCAGCTTGCTTTTCCAATCAGAAAGTCAAAGTCAATGAAACTTCCATCTGGCTTAAAAAAGAGAATGTGTGTGAACCGTGTTCACTGTGTTCATACACACGATGCAGAAGAGCGTGTACACATGTACAGTATATGAAAACTTTAGAAGGAAACATGCCAAATGTTAGCAATGAAAAACAAAGTTGGGGGCTGGAGTTGTGGATCAGTGGTGGAGCACTGGCCTGGCATGCGTGAGACCCTGGGATCAAGTCTCAACACAAAATATAAATGAATAAAATAAAGGTCCATCGACAACTAAAAATACAAAAAAAAAAAAAAAAAAAAAAAAAAATTTAAAAGCTGTTGTTTGATAATCTCTCTTCTCAAGGTAAAAGATCCTAAAAATGTAAGATTAAAAAATGGCATTAAATATCAAAGACCCAAATGTAAGAGCTAAAACTATAAAACTCTTAGAAGAAAATAGACATAACTCTTCATGATCTTGCTTTAGGCAATGATTTTTTAGACATAATACAAAAAGCACAAGCAGCACAAGAAAAAATAGATAAATGGGACTATATTAAAGTCCAATTTTTCAAAGAACATCATCAAGAAAGTGAAAAATATTTGAAAATCACATATCTAATAAGGTAATCATATTTCGCATATATGAAGAACCCTTATAACTCAATAATAAAAGACAACCAATTTAAAAATGGGTAAAGATTCTGTATAGATGTTTTTCTGAAGAAGATTATACAAATGGCCAATATGCACATGAAAAGATGCTCAATATTATTAGTTGTTAGACCACAAATAAAATGCCACACTTCACACCCAGTAGTATAGCTACAATGAAAAGGCAGACAACTGGCAAAGATGTGGAGAAAATGGAACTCATGAACTACTATAGAAATGTAAAAGTGTGATCATTTTTGGAAACAGGATTTTGGTACCTTAAAATCCTAACTGGAATTGCCATATGACCCTCCACTAATTCCACTTATAGGTAGGTACCCAAGAGAAATGAAAACATTTGTGCATTCTTTCATAGCTGGTTTCTTTTGCTTAACATGTTTTTAGCATGGTGGATGGGGATCACATTTTTGTGTTTGTTTGTAAAAACCTTATATACCAATGTTCACAGCAGCATTATTCACAATAAACAAAAGATGGAAACAACCCAAATTTCCATTTACTGATGAATGGATAAACACAATGCTGTATATCCATATATTGAGCAATAAAAAGGAATGAAGTATTGATATATGCTAAAACATAGATAAAGCTTGAAAGCATGCTCTGTGTAAGAAGACAGGCACAATGGCATATGATATATGATTCCATTTATATGAAATATTAAAAAATTGGTGAATCTACAGAAACAAAGTATATTAACGGTTTGTTAGAATTTGGAATGAGGTGGGAAAATTGGAGGGGGACAGATAAGGATATTAGGTTTCTTTTTGTGGTGATGAAAATGTTAAAAATGATTGAGAGTATGGTTGCACAACTCTGAATATACTAAAATCCAATTTAACTGTACATGTTAAATGGGGGAATTGTATAGTATGTGAATTGCATGTCAACACAGCAGCTTTTTGACAGGTTGGGAATATATCTTGTTGGTAAATCACATGCTTAGCATATGCAAAGTCTGGTCCCAGGCATGGTGGTGCATGAGTGTAATCCCAGGGGCTCACAAGGCTGAGGCAAGAGGATCCCAAGTTCAAAGCCAGCCTCAGAAAAGCAAGGCATTAAGCAACTTAGTGAGACCCTGTTTCTAAATAAAATACAAAACAGGGCTAGGATGTGGCTCAGTGGCCAAGTGCCCCTGAATTCAATCCCCAGTTTCCACCCCAGTGAAATGCCCTGGGTTTGTTTTCCATTGCAACAACAACAAAGCTGTTATTTTTTAAATTTTGCCTGAAACATAGTATTCAATGAATAAGAAAATGAACAAATAAAAGAATGAATGAATGGACATATATCAAATGTGAAAGAATATGGTTTTGGAGGCAGAAATGGTTTTAATTTCAACTTTGCCATTTACTAAGTGCTGGATCTCACTGAGGTTTTAGTGAACCTAGTTAGGAATGATAATGAGATAATTGCTATAAAATGTTCAGCCCAGTAGGAAAAGTCCCTACTGCTCATTAGGAATCTAGCAGATCAGGCTACATTAAAAGCAAAAATCAGTGCAAAGATAGTAATAATATTTTAGCTAAGTTGGGTAGTAAGTGTGTGGATGTTCATTTTATTACTCTTTATATCCACATAGCATGTATTCTTTTGCATGTATCAAATATCACATATCTTTAAAAACTGATCATAGGCTAGAGGTGTAGCTCAGTGGTGGAGTCATGCTTAGCATGCATGAGGTCCTGAGTTTGATCCCCAGCACCAAAAAAGAAAGAAAAGAAAATATCATAAAATAAAACAAAGAACAACAATGAAAAATATATAATGCCAGAGGACCAGATTTTCACTTCTTCATTACTTCATGATTTAGACAATACACATAGTTTTTTAGAAAGGACAATGTTTTAGTTATTTCCATGGCAACAAAATTTCCCTCTCACCTATCTTCAAGAAACTTAAAGCCTAGGTCTTTGCTAACTGACGTGGTGATGCACATCCGTGATCCAAGCGGCTTAGGAGGTAGAGGCAAGAGGATCGTGAGTTCAAAGCCAGCCTCAGCAATTTAGCAAGGCACTAAGCAACTCAGTGAGACCCTGTCTCTAAATAAAATTCAAAATAGGGCTGGGGATGTGGCTCAGTGGTCGAGTGTCCCCAAGTTCAATCCCTGGTACCCATTAAAAAAAAAAAAGCCTATTGTTCAGTTTCAATCATTTCTTCCAAATTAACCTGTATTAGGTACAACTTTAAAATTGGATAATTTTTGGAAGAAGATCAGAACTCTTCTCACAGGTAGCACTGACAGCACTCAAATACCTTCAAGGACACTGTACTTGTATCATCGATACCTCAGATAGTGAGAACTCTCAGGAACAGGATGTCACGCAGCTACTTGCTTCCCAGTGTTTATAATCCAGGAAAGAGTATCTTGTATCCCATAGTGCCTGGTATTCTATAGTTTCACCCTATATGTCCAAGACTTTATTCTCTGTTGAAATTTATCAAATTTTGGAAGAAATAGTCATTTATACTGTAGTATGAATTCATCAGTAAAAACTCAATAATTGCATTTTCTTTCATCTATGAATAAAGACATTTAAAGTTGGAAGCAGAAAATGTTCAAGGTAAAGAACTGCAAACAACCTAATCATTCTGCCTAGAGCCCAACCTAATTATTTCCATCCTGTTAATTTCCAGCTAGACAATTCATTAAAGCTTCCAGAAATGAGTCATGATTAAGTAAGAGATTTAGAATGTCAGCACAATCCTCAAGATTTAAACAGAAATCCTTAGAAGTTCAAATCTATAAATGGGGTCCATACCCAGGAATAAGAAAGGAACCAAGTTATCTGATTATAATTTAATCTCTTAGGTCACATGTCAGACATGGGAATAGCTCGGTTTTATGGCCAAAATCCTCCATCACAAATAAAAACAGAAATAATTAGCTCTATGGAAATATTTATTTATTTATTTATTTATTTATTTATTTATGCATGCAGAACTGGGGATTGAACCCAAGGTTTCACACATGCTAGATGCTTATTCTACCACTTAGTTATATCCCCAGCCCTTTTTTTTCTATTTTATTTTGAGATGGTTTCACTGTGTTGCCCTAGCTGACCTCAAACTTGGAATCATCCTTCCTTAGTCTCCTGAGAAACTGGTATTATAAGGACTATTGGACAGAAAGAGCATGACTTAGGTTTCTGGTAAATGTATGCACATGCTGTGGTAAAAATGAACTAGGAAACTCCTTAACCAAATAGAAGCTAACCACTTAGATAAATATTTATAATTTACAAAGTTTATCTCACTAGATGAGAAACAATTAGAGTGTCTAGTTGGGATAGAGAGGAGAAACTACAAGTTTGGTGATCCACCTAGGCAAGAGTTTTATTTTTGTCCATTGTTTATCCTCAGAATGCATTGCTCAGAATGTATACAAGAAACATAAATGTAAACACACACACACACCCAAATCCACCTCTTTTATTAGAACTTTGGGTGCAGAAAGGTAAGACTTAGTATGTATTAGGCTGACAAATCTCATCAAGGAGAACCTGAACAACCTACCTCTATGAGCCAGGGGGCATCTTTTCTGAATTAAAACTTCAGAGGTCATTGACCTCATCACCTCAGGCTCAGCAACTAAAAAAGTTTTAGTGAAGACTGCCTGCCAATTCAGCTAGAAGTTATTTACACTTTCAGGAACAAAATGGACTAAAGAAGTATGAAACAAATTACATTCTCAAATGTGAAACAAATACCAGAAGTAAAATTACTTGAGTTGTAATTTAGATATGATAATTGGCCTAAATCAAACATAAAGCTTATATTTTTAAGACAGAAGCCCTTGTGCTGTCAGTAAGTATAATCTGAACCTTTAACTTTAGAATTTTTATCAATAGCTGCAATATAGTTTCAGAAGCTGGCCACACCCTTCAGTCCCTTAAATAAGGAAAATTATAATTATACCACAATTGCTTACTTACACCTAAAATATAAAGGTTCAATTAATTAGTCATCTCATACTTAAAAGGTCCAGTCGATATAAATATGTGATAACTCTACAATGCTATTTTTCCTGCGATAGTTAAGAATAATAAGAATCAGGATTTTTAAAAGTCTGTAAGGTTATGCTTCAGAAACTTCTAAGAGAGCTGATGAAAATAGTATCTCTTTTCTGTCCTCAAAACCACTTAGATTGTACAAGAAAATTAAAAAATCATTCCACATGAGAAAACCTGCTTTGAATCACTTGAGTTCAAGGGAAATGGCACTCAGTTATCATACCCTGCATGCAAAAAATATTAAAGGAATGTAATTGCCACAAGAAACACCCAGGATTAATACTTACACAACCTCCAGCCAGGACTTCCGCTGGAAGTGGAATAGAGCCATCTCTTCTGGTAAATTTGTCCCGGACAAAATCATTAACCTAATTAGAAAGATAATATGTCAGTTAACCAGGATTCCCAACCATTTCCTCTACTGTTGCTTTTCCAAGTCAGCAAAATATTTGTCTCATGATAAAATTATTTAATTTGCCAAAGGTTTACATATAAATGTAAAGTTTTACAAGTGTCTTGATAGTGTACCAGTCTCAGCAGCATCAATTTTAATTTTTAACTTAATCTAAATAAATGGCAATCTAAATAAATGACTTAAGTTTGGAGAGAAAGAAACTTACAGTTAATTTAATGGCCTTTTCTGGAGCAACTCCTATTAGTTGTGGTATCAGACCTAAGTAAAGAGAGAGAATCAATAGCAATATAAATTACTAAATACTTATACAAAAGCACAAGAAGGAAGTGCTTTCTTCATACTATTTACCCAGCAAACATTTTAGGGCTTTAATTAAAATGGGGCAAAGTGATTACCCTAACAACTCTATAAATGTATGTAATAATCATTTACAAGTCAAATATAATGTCATGTTTTCTTGAGGCTATAAGTCCTTTTCTTAAACATGCTTTGTTAAAAGCCTAGCTATCTAGTACCTTCTAAAACAGTACAGGAGGAAAGAATAGAGTCTATGGGATTTCTCTACTCTGGGAATACTGCCAATAGCAACAGAACCAAATTCCCTCCCTTGTTACAACCAACAATATACAAACATATACAGACACTTTATGGAAGTTAATGCTGTCTACCTGGAAAACCTCTGAATAGTGTTTTGTTAAGTACACCCAAATTTTACAAAAAAAATAATGCTATTGACATAACAGCCTACAGTAACTTGATTATTATAGAATACCAACTCCCATAATTTTCTCTTCAGAGAAATCCAGCATTCAGTATTCATCTATTTAAAAGGAAGCCACAACTGCAAAGAAAAATGAAGTTTCTAGTATTATCTGATGAATATTTTCTATTAAAAAATGCCTTTTATATTTGCATTTACTAACATGTGTCAACCTTAAGACATTTTAAAAGAATCCCCTCAAAACAAAAGAAACTGTTATTCTTAGAAAGTTAAATTTCCCAGGCAGGTTGCAAACTAGGAAAAAAAAAAAAAGTATAAATGATTCAACATCTGTAGATATTCCAAGGGTTCAGCTCTCTAAAGCACACAGCTTATCCAAATTGTTAGCATCTTTAAAAAAAATGTATGCTAACAATAAACATTTTATATCCTTAACTCATTCAGCCCAGGGAGTTATATATGTGTTTGCATGCTCACTCACTGCTGATCTTAAGCCTACTTTGAGGACAGTGCTGAGTGAGGTTCCATGAGTTGAGCCAGCAAATAATCATGCATACAGGCTACTGTCAGTCAAACTGAATTATCAATGGCAAACACAAATCTGCACATACCTTTCATGGATAGCAGAATGATTTAAAAGAATGAATCAGCAGATGGCAGTCTTAACTTTCTAACTCTCATGATTATCAGGCCCTATTATTTTTAATCTAACTTCCATACAACCATGCCAGCATGGGTATTTGTTTTACAACTTGCCACACTAAAGCTTGTGGAATTTTAATAAAGTACTGACTTGTGTCATGTTATCATTGTTGCCTGCAAAGAAATTTAGTTAATCTGTCAACAATTTTGTCAATCATCTGACAAAATAATGGACCAGCTCTAAACAATATATGACAATCTCAATAATCACAGTGCTCACATACAGAACTCCTAGAACCTTCTCCCTAAAACAAAAATCTCTCATTTAAGGACTGAGTTTATCAGTTCATATCCCAAATAGAGCCAACAATCTCTTCCCCCACTTACTGTGTTGCACCCATTTAATTAGTATGGTACCTCTTCCACATGAAATCTTGGCCAGGTACAGTGGCTCATACCTGTGTGCCCCCAGTGGCTCAGGAGGTTGAAGCAGGAGGATCACAAGTTCAAACCAACCTCAGCAATTTAGTAAGGCCCTAGCAACTTAGTGAGACCCTGTCTCAAAATTTAAAAGAAGGAAAGAAAGAACGAAAAAAAGAAAGAGCTGGGATGTAGCTAAGTGGTTAGGTGCCCCTGGGTTCAATCCAAAAAAGAAATCTTCTGTGAGCATTTATCCTTGGAAAGGCTAAACCATGCATTATATATCCAGGTTTCTTCTAATTAAGAACATTCTTTTTGTAGACTAAGGAAGAAAAAGGTCATTTTTCAACAATGAAAAGATTGGTGATGTCAAAGAGAAAAACAATCATAGTGCCACGCAATTGATTCCCATTAAATAAACTCTAGACATACAGGGCTTAATCAGCTTAAAACAAGCCTTCACATGGGCAGATCTACTTTTGGGAGAATGCACACCTCTTCTCATGGAATATACGCTATACAACCAGAATTTAAAGAGGTTACAGTTGTGAATTTTAAAAATTTTTATATTAAATTTTTTTTAATTTTTATTAATTTTTTGAGCAAAATTAATTAGATTTATTCTCAAGAATGGGGTATTCGAGCCCAGTTTGAATTCAAAATAACTCTCTTCTCTTATTCTATAAATGCCAAAAACCAAACATCTTCATCATGCTCTCCTTCAAATAAGTGTGTTAGTTACATTCTTAACTTGAATACTTAAACATAATGCTAATTAGAGGTGTTTTTTCTTCTGTCCATGAGCCTATAGCTTTTTTATTTAAGTTTTTTTAAAATACATTTTTCTAAGTTGTAGATAGCCACAGTACCTTTATTTTATTTATTTATTTTATGTGGTGCTGAAGATCAAACCCAGTGCCTCACATGTATAAGGCAATTGCTCCACTACTGAGCCACAACCCCAGCCCGAAGCCTACAGCTTTGCTCAGGCCCAATCTTTCTTTCTTAGGAAGAAGTTCTAAGCCAAACAGTTCAACAAAGCTCAGAATGAGCTTAGGGATTAATGAGCCTCTGTGTATAAACAAACAAGTACAGTAAAGTACATAAATATTCTGGACTTGAGCATGTTGAGAGTATTTTCAAAGAATTCCATGTGGCGCCCAAATGGATTAAAAAATTGATCCCCCCCCCCACAAAGGAACTGTAAATTCTAATGTGAAAACATGTCCATGAAAGTCATTCTCTTTCCAAAGAGAACAAGTTCCTACAAAGCTGATGGGAGCTGGGGAGGATTCCGCATGGAGCTGCAGCCTCTGATGCTGATAGCACTGTGCTCAGTGCAGAGTTGGTGGTAACATTCCTGCAAAAGAAAATCTCTGCTATGACTGTGTGCCTCTAATCTCAGGGGAGGAAAGGAGCAAGAATGAGACTTAGAGCCAAAGGGCTTTCTACTGTTTTTTTCTTTTTTTTTTTCAGTGAACCACTGGATAAGACTTATAAAACTGTCTCTTCAGAAGAAACAAAAATATTTTATATTTCTTTTAGTTGAAGCAAGTGCATTGAAGATAAACTCATCTTCAAGTAGAGCCTAGCTTCTTTGAGAAAAGAAGCTATTTTTTAGCTTCCATCCCTGTGTTCCACCTGCAGACATGTGCCTTAGTTTGTAAGAGCATGGTGATATAGACTCATGTTGGCACAAACACAAGATTTAGATTTCAAGAAATATAAATAGAAGGAAGAAGACACACAGGTCTTGTTTGCAGACTAATATTGCTAGTCACCAGAAAGAATGTAAAAGAGGAAAATGAGCAAAGAGAAAATAGAGAGGAAGCATCTCTAAACTGACTAGGTAGGCCATATACTGGTTTCCATAATAGTTAAAATCTGCTGCTGGGCTGTGGCTGTGGCTCAGTGGTAGAGCACTTGCCTGGCATGTGTGAGGCCCTGGGTTCGATTCTCAGCATCACATATAAATAAGTAATAAATGAAAAAATAAAGGCCTATCCACAACTTTAAAAAATATTTTTTAAAAAATCTGCTGCTGGTGAGACAAGATCTCTACCTTTAACTGCTGCTGAGATTTGCTTACCCCGGTAGAGTCCAAAGAAGCCCTCATAACGCAAGACTTTCTTAAAACAGTCAAAGCTGTTTTTATACATCAGCTCCCCAACAACAGAGCCAGTGCCACGCTGGTTTTGCATCCGGGTCTTCACCAGATCTATAGGATACACTGCGGTGGCTCCCACAGCTACAAACAGAACAAGGTTTAGTCTTAAAAAAGCACACAATTAAATATAGAGTCTATAAGGACAATAAATCTCATCTGAAAGGGTGAGGATATAAAATACAAGATCTATTCTTATAAAAGAGACTTATTATTATTTCCTTCTCCTATACATAGCCAAAGGATGGCAGACTAACAACCACTGGAGGCAATAAAAAGAACTGCTTCAGAGAACAACTGTCAAGAATGATCTTTGATATATTAGCTTCATAAGTTGAAAAGTAGATTATCAAGTCATCACCACTATCAGATAATTCACACTCAATTTCCCATAAAAACAACATTAAAATATTATGTATAACAATTCTTTATATTTTTCCATTAAATGCTATTACTGCAGTTACATCTTTTTTAAAATATTTTTTTAATTATACATGGGCACAATATCTTTATTTTGTTTGTTTATTTTTATGTGGTGCTAAGGACCAAATCCAGTGCCTCACATATGCGAGGCAAGCGCTCTGTCACTGAGCCACAACCCCAGTCCTACATCTTAATAATTATAAAATGACTATATATGCAAACCAAGTGGCTGTACTTTTAAAATCAAGTATACTAAAGCATTTTGGTAAATTAATCTTAGTTATAACCATAATATTGGAAACAAAATTCCCTACATATAGAATTTGATTTTTAAAAAAATAAGGCCATGCTTTAGAATTTGTCAGGAACTGAAATATTTATTACATGAGCCATAGTATTGTATTTTTGACAGTTGAAACCCAAACATGCTTTATGACTTCTAAAACTAAGACTGAAAAAAAAATACTAGTTTCATAAGTTCAGGCTTGTTTTGAAAAATCATAAACATTTTAATCACACCTGCTAGACTCCTCTCAACAAAGTGACTACACATTTTCTTTGCAGAGTATTAAGCAAAAACAATCTCTTTAAATTTCTGCTGGGAGCAAGGAAGGGAAGGGAAGTTCCTTTTAGCAAATAAACTGTAAGTCTAGATAGTTTTAAGCCAGTGAAAAAAGAAAGAAAAAAATATAAACATAAAAGCAAAAGTGAAATCACTTTGAGAGGTTGTTTTGTTTCATGAGGTTCTGAGTTTATATCACAAATCTTGATTTCCTACCTGCCCCTATGCCAAAAATTTGGTCTTATTCTCCATTTTTTTCATACTGGCCTTCACCAGTATAATTAAGGTGAGTATAGCACTGCATCTCAGACAGAGAGAGGTTTTATTCTGAAGACAGACTGGAGCCAGAGGGGCCACAGCCATGTTATGACAAGTCCTCTGATCATAGGTAAAAATAAAGAACACTTCAGAAAGCCCTGCAGTCCTGACCTCTGGGAACAATGAACTGCACCTTTGCTGATCTGCCCCAGTCTAGTGAGATAATATTACATTAACACAAGCCTGAAACAGCACACAGACATGTCACTCACCTCCAGCAACTGAGCCCAGAGTAAATCTGTAAGCGGACTCGGCAATCTGGAGCCAGACAGGCCTGCCTAACCCAGGAGATTGCTGTAGGGAAGAAGAAAACATGTAAAAAACTTTGGAAAAATGTACAGGAAATGAAAAAAAGCAAGAATTTGGCTATTTCAAGATAAAAAAAACAAAAGTAAAAGCAATATGGTTAATGAGGTAACATCTTTGAAAAAAAATAAGATATTCATGTAGTCAAAAATGGTAAAAAAAGTTTTTAAAAAATACTTCAAAAGGAAAGAAAGTGAAATGAATCTGAAATAATTTCCTATATACATACATGAATACATCATAGTGAATTCCACCATCATGTACATCCACAAGAATGGAATCCTAATTAGAATATGATATATTCCATGCTTGTATAATAATATCAAAATAAACTCTACTGCCATATATAACTAAAAAGAACCAATTAAAAAAAGAAAAAGAAAGAGCCCCAGATATAATTACTGGTGCATACAATTATTTATATCATTTGGTTATTAAAATTTCTATATCAAAATAAAGATACTATGTAATAAAAAAACTATAAAAAATTAAAAACTAAAAATAAATACTTCTATTATTAACATTTAAAAAACATATCTAGAGTCCCCGGTAGCAGCCTTGTAGACTACAGTTAAGCAGGCAGTGAAATTGAGTAAGAATAGATTTATGATTTTATTAAAAAAAAAAAAAAATATATATATATATATATATGACAAAATACACAGCTTTTTTCCTCCTATCTGTTTACAAGCCTATTAATGCCTCATTTATTGGCTACTATTGGGGAATACACCATTAATCTCTAGAAGTGAAGTCACATCCCCAGCCCTTTTTGTATTTTATTTAAAGACATGACCTTGCTGAGTTACTCAGGGCCTTGCTAAGTTGCTGAGGCTGGCTCTGAACTTACAATCCTCGTACCTCAACCTCTGGGATTTTTAGGCTTGTGCCAATGTGCCAGGCCACATTTCAAGTTTCAAATTTTTCCCCCGCTAACTAACTTAAAATTTTAAAACTTTCTCAAATGCATAAAAAATTACCTTGATTCCTAAATCAGAATATTGATCATAATCTAATATCTGTAAAGACTATTGTTCTAATCATATTCAATCCTAACAAAATCTATGAAAATAATAAAGGGAAAAATCCTATGTAATTCAGAATACTATTTCATAGGTATCCTATAACATAAAAGACCTGAAATAATTTGTCTATATCAGTGTGTCAGTCTTATTCTTTTTTAAAAAATATTTTTTAAATTTGTCAGTGAAACTTTATTAATTTATTTACATGTGGTGCTGAGAATCAAACCCAGTGCCTCACACATGCTAGGCAAGCCCTCTACCACTAAGCCACAATCCCAGCCCTCAGTGTTATTCTTTAATATTTTATGAAAATAATCTGCTATACTACATAGGAAACAAGGAATAAAATATTTACTTTCTCATAAAGAAAACTCGAAAAATGTTAGCTTGAAATGAGCTTTTTATAAAAGTATAAGGAGCTGTGGATATATAGTTCAGGGATAGAGTGCTTACCTAGCATGTTCAATTCTGGGTTTGAATCCCAGCACCATCAACAAATATATAATTCGATGAAAAACCATAATAAAAAGTTCAGATACTCTCTACTATATTATTTATATACACATAAATCTAAGTAATATACATTATAAATTATATAAAATACACATTTTAAACACATACAAAAATAGAAATGATTAAAATGAGAAACTGAAATGTTATTAAAATAATTTTATTTTTCATTTATTAATGCCAAAACGTTTTTGGTAATGCTTTAGCATACTTCATTTAGTTTTTTAAAGTGTAGGGGGTGTTGGGGATTGAATACAGGGTATTACCACTTAACTACATCCCTTTTATTTTATTTAAATTTTGAGACAAAGTCTAAATTACCCAGGCTGGCCTCCAACTGGCTCTCCTCTTGCTTCCACCTCCAGAGTAGCTGGGATTATAGGTGTTCCACACAATGCCCAGCTTTCTCAAATGTTGATGGAACATTTTGTATATAGTGAGTCTAACCAACTAATTCTGATACTTTGTTTCAAAGACAAGAATTAAAAACAAACAAAATCCATTCCTTCAAAGCAATGATATTTAACATCACATATAAATTCAACTTAAAGTATCCCTAAGTGTCCCTTCAAAATTCATGTATTGAAACCCTAAACCCCTGAGTAAGAGAAAGATGAAAACTTTAGGAGATAATTAGATCATGAGAGTGAAGACCTCATGATAAGATTTGCTCCCTTATAAAAAGAAACAACTAGTGCACATGCAGGCGCTCTCTCTCTCTCTCTCTCTCTCTCTCTCTCTCTCTCTCTCTCTCTCTCTCTCTCTCTGCCCTCCCCACCCCCGGGCCCCTGCCATAAAGAAGATATAATGAGAACACTGCCATCTGCAAACCAAGAAAACAGTCCTCAACAGGAATTGAACAGAATTAAATGGCAATTTGGACTTCCTAGCCACTATGAAAAATTAACTTTGTTGTCTAAACTACTCAGTCCATATTAGTTAGTTATGGTAGCCCAAACATACCAAGGCAGGCATTCTGCCTTAAATTTAACAATGTTTTAAAATCAATATAGCTGGTTATGTTATATACTAAACACACAGCATATCTGTAACTTAAAAATCTACATATGTCAATGGTAGAGAGCTTGGCAAGAATGTAAAGGGCCCTGGGTTTTATTTCCAGTACCAAAAAAAAAAAAAAAAAAACCAAAAACATTCATATAAAACTTTTTCTTCCAAAACTCCAAAACTGGAGTTTCTTCAACACAAATTTAGATGAAGAGAAATCTCACTCTCATAGATTTTATTTTCAATCATGTGTTCTCTCAAAAAAATACAAAGTTAAAATTCATAATTAAAAAGGCTATGATCCTAAACAACCACTAATTCCATTATTCATATAAAAGGTTTCTCTCGTATTCAACCATATATATTTTTCTTTTCCCTCTCTTCTTTCAAAGAATGTTTCTATAAACCCTAAAAAATCCTATCAAAACTGAGGGAAAAGAATAAAATATCTCAAACCATAAATACCCAAATGCCTTTTGACCAAAATGTCACCTTCATCCCTATTAAATAGCATTTATAAGAAAACATACAGTATATGGTAACCAAGAATTTTTTCTTACGGCTTAGTTTATTAGTATAACTTATGGTTCACTTGCATTCAGTTATGTAAATTAATATAATTAATGCTATAGATTTCGCATCATGAATATTCATAAGCAGAATGCTACTACAGCTGTCATCCCTATTAATGACTATGTACTGAATTTTTAGCATTTAGGCTGAAAGAAAATATTCAGCAATAAGATGATCACCTACTGTGATCAAATGGGCCAAAGGAAAAGGCACTCTTTACCTGAAGGTTACGATTATGATCATGAAGGCTGGTATTTAACAAGGTTAATTAAGTGTTTTTCAAAGCAAAACAAGAGTTGAGAATCTTATATGATTTTTAACTGGCTCCCTAAGCATACATGTATGATAGGGAATAAGACCTCATTTTGAGACCTCATTTATTTAAAGAAAAACTCTTTTCCTGTTTTTATTAAATGTACCTTATCCTATAAAGGGGGAAAATAAATGAGAATTAGGACAAGATCATGTCAGTTAACATTGAATCGCTAATGCATGATCTCAAAATTGTTACACACTAGTTAACATGAATGCCTTAGAATTTCTCATAAATCTGAAATATGTAAACAGAAGAAAGTTTTCTTCAAGACTGAAAATTCGCTGGGCCATGCTTATAATCTCAGCCGCTTGGGAGGCTGAGGCAGGAGGATCATGAGTTCAAAGCCAGCCTCAGCAAAGGCGAGGCTCTAAACAACTCACTGAGACCCTGTCTGTAAATAAAATACAAAATAGGGTTGGAGATGTAGCTCAGTGGTTGAGTGCTCCCGAGTTCAATCCCTGGTAACCTCCCCTCCCCCCAAAAAAACCCTGAAAACACAAGAGACTATTACCTTGGTTGTTTAAGAACTTAGCCATGTTTTTACATTATTCTACTTGAGTCCTATCATGTATTCCTTACAACGTGTTAAATGCTACAAAGGAGGGTGAATTTTGAATTCTGAAAATAAAATCCATTGATTCACAACATTTCACAGAATGCAGCTTAAAGGATTCTTGGAAATATTTGAAAAACTTTGTACCAGATCCTAAAAATAGTAAAGGTCAGATTTCACAACAGACATGAATGGACACCTTTATACACTTGTTTATTTATTTTTTTTTAAAGATAGAGTGAGAGAGGGAGGGAGGGAGGGAGGGAGGGGGAGAGAGAGAGAGAGAGAGAGAGAATTTTTAATATTTATTTTTTAGTTTTCGGCGAACACAACATCTTTGTTTGTATGTGGTGCTGAGGATCGAACCCGGGCCGCACGCATGCCAGGCGAGCACGCTACCGCTTGAGCCACATCCCCAGCCCCACTTGTTTATTTTTGTATATGGTGCTGATGATCGTGAACCCAGGGTCTCACACATGCGAGGCGAGCACTCTACCGCTGAGCCACAACCCCAGCCCTAAAATCTTTTTTTTTTTTTTAGGTGTAGATTGCACATTGCCTTTATTTTTATGTGGTGCTGAGGATCGAACCTGGGTCCCGTCCGTGCTAGGCAAGAGCTCTACCGCTGAGCTACAATCCCAGCCCCAGCCCTAAAATCTTAATTTTTATTTCTTTATACATAACCTTCAGTAGTAAGACTACCTAATTTATGTGAGATACAAGAGGAAAAACAAAAAATGCAGGCTCTGAGATTCTTCCCATGAGGAACAATGCAAGAATACCCAAGAACTCTACCTGCTCTACAGAGATTCCAGATCCCTATATCATCCCAGGTTTAGGGAAAAGGCAAAGAAGCACCCAACTACCTCTCTAGAGAACCAGAAAAGAAGAAAGCAGTGGTGCTTATTACCTAAGCATCTAAAAAAACCCTTGAAGCCACCCATGTCAGCATTAAAAGCATCAAATCAGCACTGCCACTGAAGGCATCTTGTATCTTCCTTGAAGAAAATACATACTAGGAGCAGGATTTCATCATCTTCCTAAGGACAAAGAATTATAAAGGATACAAAACAAGTTTCAGTTTTGGCTTCTAAGGAAACTGCTGGGAGCAAAAGAGGTGAGTAAAGAGCATGAGCAGCAGAAAAGCCAATGAAGGGCTGGAATTGTGGCTCAGTGGTACATCGCTCACCTAGCACACACATGAGTCACTGGGTTCCATCCTCAGCACCACATAAAAAGCAAAGATATTGGGCTGGATTGCAGCTCAGTGGTGGAGCTCTTGCCTCGCATGCGTAAGGCCGTGGGCACCACATAAAAATAAATAAAAATATAGATACTGTGTCCATCTACAACTAAAAATTATTTTTAAAAAATTAAAGATATTGTGCCCATCTACAACTAAAGATACACATTTTTTAAAGAAAAAGCCAATGAAGGAGGAAATGAGTTGAAACTTTTAAACTCAGTTTATATTGTTTTTAATAAGCTAAATGAAATATTCCCCAATTACAAAGATTAGGGACACCTCCAAGGACCGCAATAATAGACATATTACACCATAAAATAGCTCCTTCCAAATAAAGTTTTTTCAAAATCCAAGAGCAAATTTTCATAAATGTATACAAAATATAAAATTGAATACAGTGAGAACTCTTTAAATATTTCAATGTCTCAAACTTTTTATAATTTTATAAAATTTTATTTTAAAAAAAATGAGTGAATTTGAATAAATCCATCTATTTTTAAGAATCTGATAACTTGAGATGGAAATAAATTTTGATGATATCAGGACTTTCTTAGTACAAAAGAAGCTAAACTGTAATGAGCTACACATTCATTTTAATCTGTAGGAAGCTTTATTATACACCAAGCACACAACTAAAGTATTACCATAAAATGTAGATATAAAAGCTCTTTTTTCCATTTTCAGTTTGTTTCAACTGACCATAAAAGTTCTTATTCATTACATAAAGTGGACATGGAAATCCTAATTTCAGAGGCAGAATATCATTCCATGGAACTCAAATAAAAGAAAAAATTTTCCACCAAATCTTCCCCAAAGAAACCATACTTAAATGCCTTGATCCCTTACTTACCTACTTGGTGAAGGTGAATCAGGTAAGCCCATCCCTGGCTACTCATCAATGTGGCAACAATAAAGAAAAGTAGGCATGGGTCTTTTCTTCTGACCTACCTGCTTCCCCCAACTCCTGTCATTCCGTTCCTCAGAAACCCTCCCCAACTCCTAGCCTAGGGTGGCACAGCAGTCTCCTAAAGAAGTACAAGGGCCACAGGTCCCATCTGGGCCACAGCAAGGAAATCTCAGGAAGACAAGGATGGCCCTCCTGACCCTCACCCCCACACCAACCCACAGGATCTTTGGCTACAACTGAAGCTTCCTCTAAGTGCTACAGAAGTAGAGGTTTCCGTTTAAAACAAGATTTGTTAAAAACTGTTCTATTCTACTCTTCAAGGTCATTTCATGTGTTTTTTTTTTTCCCCCCCACCAAGATAGTTATTTGTAAAATCAGAAGTAGAACTATATTAACTTTATAGGATGCAGAAGCTATTTTTGAATTATCCTTAACATTAAAAACTTGTATTACTAAAAATGTAATAATAGTCAAGGTTTTCTTTCTGGTTCATTAATTAGGTACATTTCCTTTTTTCTTATTGTAATCTATAAGGCATGATTCCAATAAGTGATTAATTTGAGAAATGTTTTGTACTTTAAAAACCCTATAAATAACAGTTTAATGATACAAAATGAACCTAACACTAATCTTTAAGGATGACTAGACAAATGAAGTGAAAAGAATGCTAATTCTAATGTAAAGCAGCCTGATCCCATCTATGTTTGAATTCTTATTTTCTTTACCTCAAAAAGTTGAAAGAACAAAAACATAAACATAATAATGCCATAAAAATATTCTGTAAGTATGAGAGTAATAGTTAAATAAAGGTAATCTTTAAGTAAAATCCTCCTCTAGAAAGCTTTAAATTTTCACAGCAATCTGAAGCTTTAGGTTTGTCATGTACATATTATTTCAGTACAGACTATTTCTACCTGTCTCTGAAGTTCTGCCAGGTTGTAAGGCAAGGCCCCCTCAGCCAATGGGGCTATTCTCTCAATATCTGCTAAGGTCAAGCGCCTTAAGAGAAAAGGGAAAGAAAGGATTATTAGACAGTGACACACTGCTCACAACAAGTGAATCTTTCCTTAAAAACAAAACAAAATTATTTCCCTATTCACACAAATCAGATAATTCTTCTGAGGAAAAAAAAATTCTTCAGACTTTGTTTATAAGAATAAGCTATAGACTTCAGAGAAATAATGTTGGACTGTATTAATGATAGATATTAACAGTGAAGAAATAATTCTTGTCAGAAGCAAAGTATAAACACTGACAGCAGTGCATATGCAATACATTCCTCTCAATATATCTATTAATGAATAGGTGCAAAGTATCCTGGAAGAAAATTTAGATGCAAAACTGATAAATATTGGTTGCCTTTAAAGAAGGGCACAAGGGTAAGAGAGAGACTTTTTTTTTTTGTCTTTTTAATAGTACATTTTTTTAGATCCTTTGAATTTTGAACCATAAATGCACTATTATTCCCAAAAATCTACTTTAAAATATGTATATTTCATGAACTAGCTAAAAAGACACTTTAGATCTAGTTTTGAGAAATACTTTGGGAAAGCATTTAATATCATAATGGACAATCAGAACCTCTGTCTAAAAATGTGAATTACAGATGAATGAGACATGGCCTGATATTTCATGTCAATCACCAAAGACAGCTAATACATATATTTAACACCATCCTTTCCAGTACAACAATTCATTATGAAGCATAACACAATAAATAAATCACCTATTATATATTGACCTTCCATTAGCCTTAAGCTCTAGGGTTAGAGTCCATTTTTTCAGATACCGTTATACTTAACTATTAGAAGAGACTAAAAAAATTCAATTTTTTAAAAAATTGTTTTTATTAGAGTTTTATAGTTGTACAGAATAGTTGGGTTCTTCCCAACAAACTCATACATGCTTGGAAACTGATTTTAGTTCATGATCCCCATCCTTTTCCCTCCCCTTTCACAAACTCCTTTCTCTATTCTACTAGAATTACTTTTGCTAGTCTATTAATTTGTATTTCATTGGTTCTTTATGCTATCCTACTCTTCTCTCCCCCTTTCCTTTGTTTTACTCTATATTCCGCGTATGAGAGAAAACAATCTCTGTAAGTTCCCTTTCCACAGGTTTGCTGGGTACCATAGAGTTTTTCAGGGCTGGGGTTATGGCTCAGTAGCAGAGCACTCGCCTGGCCCATGTGAGGCACTGGGTTCAGTCCTCAGCACCGCATAAAGATAAAGAAAGAAAGAACATAAAGGATTGTGTCCATCTACAACTAAAAAAAAAATTTTTTAAAGAGTTTTTCTTTCCTATTTTCATAAGACTTTGCAAAGTAAATACCCTCAATGTGCTTTGGGTTTTTAAAATTTATAAAACATCTGATTTTGGTGCTATGATAATAATGTCACAGGTATATTTCAAGAAAATGATACTCTGCAACACAAAATTTATTCAAAATGGTATATACTGTTCAGTAAAATGACCATTTACACCATTTGAGGTTACAAACTCCTCCATATACTTCAGCTTATTTTCATAAATATACACACTTAGGAAAATTTCCACAAATCTCTTGAAATTCATAATACTTTCAGAGAGCCAAGTTTAAATCAATCTTTTTCTTCCCTCTCCTTTCTATTCTTTCCCCTTTTCTCTCATTTTTTCCTTTCCTAATTTTCCTCTCTCATGCCCCTCAATCCTTTACTCCCTTCTCTCATCTCTCCTGTTCCATCTCTTCCTCCCCTTTCCATCCCTTTTTATCGTTTCTTCTCCTCACTGTTCTCTCTTCTTTTACCTTCCTGCACTTCCCTTGATCTTTTCTCTTCTTTTTCCTCCTCTATTTCTCATATCTGTGTGTTTCTTTTCCTTAGAATTTATATACTAAATAAAATATTGTTAAAATGAACTGAAAACAGGGCTGGGACTCAGTGGTATAGCGCTCGCCTGGCATGTGAGAGGCACTGGATTTGATCTTCAGCACCACATAAAAATAAAATAAAGGTATTATGTCCACCTACAACTAAAAAATACATATTAAAAAAAAAATGAACTGAAAACAAACTGCTATTTCACATTTTAAAAGAACTGCCCTATAGTAAATACCATGAAGAATTACTGGAATAGTTACTAACCCTGAAGCATTATATAAATCTGCAAGCTGGTATAGAATATCAATTTCTAGTGGAGTGACTTGTCCATAGCGTATGGCATTCTGGGCAAATTCCTCTGAAACAGAAAGAAAAAAACTATTAAAATCTTGAAAGACTTTCCATATATAACAAATTTCTATCTTAACCAACTATAATAATCTGAACACTAAAGGAATTTTAGTACTATTTTAAAAGTCTAAAACTTAAATACTTGAATTCAATTACATAGGAATAACTATGTGTTTCTGAAGGCCAGTAAAAGATGAAATGTTAAGAGAATGAAACAGCAAAAACAGATAAATTAACTTTAATAATAAAATAATCTCATTAGAATCCTCTCTTTCATCTTGTTTATCCAGTTTGGTCTCCAGAGTTACAAGATAAAAGAAGAGGCTGTTCTCCAGTTACCCAAAACATCCTATTACAATACACCAAGAGGAGTAGGCTTACTCATCTTTCTGTGGCAACTTCTTCCTATAACAAAAAAGCAGCTGCCACAGTGCCAATGACCTATTTGACAGATTGGGCCAAGGTTCTTTTCAAAACCGTCAAAGCCACTTTGCAGGATTCCATTAAATCCACCTGGATTTCTGAAGCAAAAGTGAAGCATGTGCATACATGGTAACACACTTGTCTAGATCTGGCTTTAGTATGGTGAACTTAGATCACTCTCTTGCCTAGATGATGAAAAGTAAAAAAATGCTGAGATTCAAGTCAATATTTTTAAATCTTACCCTTTGTGACCTCAATATCTTTCCTTGTGCCAGCTAAAGTGCTATATATCTTACGAACAAGCTCCATGTTATTCAGTAAGGAGTTAAATGCATTGAAGTAGGAGAAGCTAACTTGATGTGAGATACTTCCTCCAGCAGCCTAGGAAATAACAACACAAAAAATTTTATAAACAAAAACAAGTGTGTTTTGGGCACCGTATTTTTCTCAAAGAAGATCCAAGGGGTCTTTGTCATTAAATTGATCAACAAATAGTACAGAAATACAAGGAATGTATCATACTGAAACACTCAGTGCATTTCATGCCCTCAGAGAAGTCTACGTAATGTAGGTTTTAAGGAAGAAAGCACCATCTGGAAGTTGGACTTCATGGTTCTACCTATAAGGTCAGAAACAACAAAAACAATTATCACAGATCAAGAATAATGGTTATTTAAACAGAATTTCAAGACCTTTGACAATAAAACTCCTGCTAGTCCTGAATAAATATCAATGTACAATACAAGAAACAGCATTTAAACTCGTTTTTATTTCCTCCACACACATACACAAAAACCATATGATAACTTTAATTTTTTTTGTAACCCAGCAACTTTAAATTTCAAGACAACTTCAATATATCAACTTTCCTAAAAAAATTTAAGCCCACTGTAGTAATTGAGATCCTTAACAGTCTGTGCTGGTCTCTGAAAGGTACACTACCCAAAATATCAAAAAACGTAAGAAAAATCTGGTGAGAATTTAAGTGCTATTATTCCTTCAGTGAAAGAAATAAAAGAAGCTCCCTCATGCTGCAATAAGGAGCAAGGTAGGCTTCATCACCTCTGCAGGGTGAGAAAGTAATTTCTCTCTCTGCCCTTCACTTGGACAAAAACTCAGAAGAGCCTAGTTTCCAAGTCAGAAGTCAGAGTAAGCCACATGATTGAAAACATTCTCTATTAAAAACTCAAAGAACCATGGAAAAAAAAAATTTATTTAGAGTCATAACAAATTTTTGAAAACCTCAAAGAAATGCTTATGGAAATACCAATGTAACAAACTTAATCACAAAAGCCTATTATGAACAGTCTAGTAATGGTGAACAAATCACTCTCAACACCCCTCACATACCCAAATTAGATTATACTTGTATTAGCCTGAATTTGTATACCAGTGACTCAAAAGCAAGATTCAAATTTTTTAACATATTCCTCTAAGGACTAGAAATGTCCTTTGGTAAACTGAGGCCATAATATCCACCTAACCCAGATGGAAAATATTAAATGGGTCCCCCCCACCCTAAGATAGAGTGAGCCCTTTCCTCTAAGATTATCTTTCCTTCTCTCCTTCCCTGTCTCCTCTTTCTTTCCTCCCTTTTTTCATTTTTTTTTTTTTAATTGGGGTATGAGGTAAAGGCAGGGGAGTGGGGATAGGTGTCAGGGAGGTGAAATATGTAGGAGAAACTGACATGCTCCATGTTCAAATTCATTGAAGAAAAAGAACAGAAGTTGATCTTTCTACCCCAGTCTAAACCAGGATAATGATCTTCAGCTGAAACAACAAAAGCATTCATTGGCTTCCCTCTTTTCAAAACAAGCAGTAATCAAAAACTTATATGCAAGTACAACACATGAACAAAAACATGGGTAAGAGAAGAAAGTTTCACCATTTTATGCGAGGAAGTAGATTATGTGAGTTAGCTATTGGTCCAAATGATATAATCTGCAATTCTACAGAACAAAAAATTGTGCATAATGTGTCAACACTGAATGAACAGGTGAAGGAGCAGAGAGGAGTGATCCACAAAGGCTGCTGGCCACATATTTCCTCCATACCTTCTGCCATGGGAATGGTTATTAAAACAATGCAGAGGCTAATGGAGATCCTTTCAGCAGACAAAGGAAGAAGCCATCCTTGTAACAAGACCTTGGGAGTCTGGTAGGGTGGAAAGAAGTCAAGAAGGCAGCAGCAGTGTCTGGGACAGGTACTGCTCACTGAAAGAAGTAACTACTCACCCTTGTCTACAAACTCCCATTTCCCTTGAACTGGACTCCATAAATGGAAATAAATAATTTGGAAATACATGAGAACAAGATGATAGCTCTGAATAAAACTACAATCTGAGGAAAGACCACTCACCATTTCACCTGTATCTCCAACACACACACACAACACACACACACACACACACACACCCCTACCTATTTACCTTCTACCAACCCAGCATTAAGTTTGAATAGTTGAGTCATATGAGTACAGGGAGGCAATTTGGGACCCAATAGTTCAAAATGTTTTAGGAAATATAAAGTTAAAGTACTTGCTTTTTACTTACTGAAACTAAGTTTTCCTCCACAAAAGGAGTAAGCATGTGAGACCGAATGGTAACCATGATATCACTAAAATCCAGACCAGAAATCATGCCACTTTTGCTTTTGTCTTTCAGTGCAAAGGCTTGTCTTGCATGTTCCAGCTGCAGCTCCTAGAGGAAAAAATTTAAAATCGAGTATTAAATAGATTAAAGCACATCCCAAGTACATGTCTTAGAAAGGAAAGACAAACATTCTTCTGCAAACATGCACTTATTACAGAAACAATATACAGCTCTGAAATTACTATGAAACTTTCAAATTTCATTTAAGAAACACTTTTTTCCTTAGAAACATACTACATATTACTCCTTAGGGAAAGGAATGAATTAGAGCTGGGCAATAACAGAAAGGAGAAAAAGAAACTTCAAATTATACTTGCAAAGTTTTCATCACTAAAATAACAAAGTAAGTACAGTGTTTTCAGTGCTTTATTTCAGCCTTTCAACTACACAGTAACTTATTATCTCCTACTTGAAGACTTTGTCATCCAAGAGTACTTCTTGTATTGAGTTTACATTCTGTTCAGTTTTTCAGTTTTAAATGTTGCAATGAAAATTATACATGTTTTCTCTGAATTAACACCATTTATTCAAACATTTTTTAAAAATAAACTCAGTGTAAAACTCTACCAATCAGTAAATGCAAAACTTCATAACTCTACAGCAAAAATTATGAATAACAAACTGTATAAGCAGTGTTCAGTTATCACACTATAGGGTTTGGGGCACAGTTACTCACAAACTATGAAACAATCCAGAATCTCCCTGAACTTTTGAACTACCATGCAGTCAAACTTTGTAATAAGTGATATCAATAAAAACAACAAAATATGCCAGTAATCTCCTGGGTTCTGTACAAAAGTCAAAATCAGAGCATTTCTACTCTGGGGACCCATGATATAATCCAAATAGATCTGTTGGCACAGATAATAATGTGCCATAGATGCCATTTTTATATTCTCGGCAACTCTGGAAATTAATAGTCATATCTAAATATATAAATATTGTTCAAAGATAAGACAATATAATTTTCATTGCTATTTATTTATCAAAGCCTTCAAATCAATGTTGCTTTATCTTTCCTGACATTTAAAATAGTTTTGGGTAAAAGTCTCACTCTTTTTTTTTTTTTTTTTTTAAATATTTATTTATTTTTTTAGTTTTCAGTGGACACAACATCTTTGTTTGTATGTGGTGCTGAGGATCGAACCCGGGCCGCACGCATGCCAGGCGAGCGTGCTACCGCTTGAGCCACATCCCCAGCCCAAGTCTCACTCTTTTTTAGTTAACTATATTTTCCTAAGGATTTTTGCTCTCCCACTGGTAATTCAAAGACAGTAAAAGTACCTTAGCGGGTATTTGTTTTATAATCCATTAAGGCATACATTTGTTTTATGTGGTTTTCTGTTTGTGTATGATATTTAACAAAAAAATTTTTAAAAATAATTCCTTAGTAGGGTGATGAGCTAGAGACACGTACATTAAACCTACTAAGTTTTTCAACAGTCTTGACTTTAAAAAGTTAAATGGTAGAGGCTGGGGATGTGGCTCAAGCGGTAACACACTCACCTGGCATGGGCGGGGCACTGGGTTCGATCCTCAGCACCACATACAAATAAAATAAAGATGCTGTGTCCACCGAAAACTAAAAAATAAATATTAAAAAAATTCTCTCTCTCTCTCTCTCTTAAAAAAAAAAAAGTTAAATAGTAATACTGAAGAAATATCTAAACAAAAAGATATGTGTGGATTTGCTTGGAAGAGCAATATAAGTGGGGTCAACTGGCAGACACTTATATTGAACAAAAAATACAAAATAAACAACTAGAGATATGTGACAAAATTTTCTCTTATTCTCTTTTTTCACTCTAAACATTCTACCTAACTTGCTTCATCTTCCCATCACCTTATTCCAATCTGCACCTTCAAATAAGAGGAATTTTTAGTCTTATTAGATTGGTTTAAAGTGGTTGCCATGGCAAAGACATTCCTAGCAGCCTCAGAGCACACAAAAATCCACGCCCTGTCTCACATACATGTTCCCTCCCTCTCTCCTTTGTTTCTCTTTATGTCTTTGTTATATATTTATTTTCCCTATGTGCATATCTTAAACATCCAGCGATATCCAGTGGCAACTATGAATATAACTTAGCTTTAATAGTGGTATTAAGGAAAATATGAACATTTAAAGATAAAGCAGAATGTTCACTGAAAGAACAATGTTAAAATAGATTTTGTGTTTTCTATAGGTCAACAGTTGAAGGACTCTATCTTTTCAAGATACATATTTGAAGAACCACAGATGAAATTATAGTATGTGCAGGACTGACTTCCAAATGATATTACAGGAGGCTGACTGAGGAGGTGGATAAAACAATTCTGGTCAAAAGCTGATAGGTAATGAATATATAGGAATTCATTACACTATTCTCTCTACATTTAAATATATTTGAAGTCTTCCAAAATTGAAAAATATTAAAAAATTAAAATTAAGAACTTCAAATGAGAAACTAAATAAACAACAAAAAAAAGGAGCTCCATATATAAATCTCTCAGTTTACATACTATAATTAAATACAGGGGTATAATATTATCAGATATCTTCCATAAACAAAGGGAAAAATAATGAGAGAAAGTCATCTTTGGAGGAACCAAAAAAAAAAAATGCTAGTTGGGAAGACATTTCCTTTTTAAAAAAAATCATTTTTCACATGTGTAAACCTTTTTAGCCTTTCAAGTTTGAGTATTTTACAAGATGAGAACAAGCACTGGGTTTTACAAATACCCACAAAACAGCACAGTGTTTTTTTTTAAACTTTATTTTATTTATTCATTTTTATATGGTGCTGAGATCAAACCCAGTGCCCCACACGTGCTAAGCAAGTGCTCTACCATTGAGCAACAACCCCAGCCCTAAACAGCATAGTTGTTAAATCTATGTTCACCACAATGAAGTAAAACAACATAGTAGGTTTATAAAAGATAAATAAATCCTGCTTCTTGTTGAAAGGATGGTTAGATGGATAGGGGAATGAAAGAAAAGGACAAAGTAAACAAGCTATTCTAAAGGTAAAGATGTTATGTACTTGAAAATACATTTCATCTAACTATGAGGTAAACTGAAAATATCAAGAGTGTCAAAAATAGCATGACTTTGGATTAGACTACATTTGTATACTTCACTATTTTTTAAACTCCATTCTCCAGTAAAATCACAGCAAAGGGACAAAACAAAATAAAACCCAAGGACAAAGAGAACAGAAAAAGAAAACATGAACAACTTCACAAGACCCTGTCTCTAAATAAAATAGGAAGAGCTGGGGGTATAGCTCCGTGATGAAATGCTTGCTTAACATGTGTAAGGCCTTGGGTTCAAGCCCCAGCACCACAAACAAACAAAGAATGGCACTGCCCATCTCAGTGGCATCATCACAAATTAGAAAACAAATGCTTTCAAAATTATAAGAAAAATAAATTCCTACTAAAATTCTATATCCTGCCATACTATTTAAGTTTAATGACGAGGCAAGAGGTTTTCAGATATGAAAATTATCTAAAATTGTTCTATTTTACTTTCCTCAGAAAGCTGATAAATAAGTATTCCACCAAAAAGAAGTAAACCATGATAAGGAAAATCTCCAGCAAACAGAATATTCAACATAATAGAAAGGCAAATGGATTATCCAGGATGAAGGTAAAGGGAGATTACAGAATAACAGCTATGCTGAAAGTTCCAAAGTCCAGCTTCTGACCATGAAGTAGATCAGAAAACACCAGAAAAATTGTACAGCTGCTGTGGAAAACAATTGGTGGTTCTTCAGAAAGTTTTAGGGGCTGGAGAAGTAGCCCAGTACTTGCTAGCACACACAAGGCCCCAGGTTTAATACCCATCACTACAAAAACAAAAAAGTTAAAAAGAATCATCATACAACCCAGCAACTGCACTCCTTGGTAGATATTTGAACAAATATTTGTATGAATATATACAAGAGTACTGTTCACAACAGTCACAAGGTGGAAACAATCCAAATGTCCATCAACTGATGAATAGACAGAAAAAAAACAAACATTCATAAAATGAAATATTATTCTGCTAAAAAAGGGGAAGTACAAAAAGATACTATAAATGGATAATCCTTGAAAATATTAAGGTAAGTGGAAAAATAAAAGACTCACAATGTCATGTTTCATGATTCCATTTATATGAAATATCCAGAAACAGTTATGTCCATAGAAATAAAAAGTAGATTGATGGTTGCCAGAAGTTGAAAGAAAAGCAAGAATAGGAAGTGAATGCTAAATGAATTTTGCAGTTTCTTTTGGAGTAATGAAAATGTTTTGGAACTATATAGAGGTAGGAAGGTAGTGGTCGCAAAACACTGAATATCACTAAAAGCCACTAAATCACACACTTTTTAAAAAAATTTTAAACAGGGGCAAAGGGCTAATTTTATATTATATGACTTTTTTTTTTTTTTTTTTTTTTTTTGCAGTAATGGGGGTTAAATTCAAGGCCTTGTGCATGCTAGGCAAAGTGAGCCACATCCCCCAGCATTCTACTTTTTAAAAAAGAAAGAAAGGCGGGGATTGTGGCTCGGTGGTAGAGTTCTTGCCTAGCATGCATGAGGCACCAGGTTTGACCCTCAGCACCACATAAACCTAAAATTTAAGAATAAATATTAAAAAAAGAAAGCTTCTGGAGGGCTTCAACAAGATTAAATTGATAGACTACCTAATATGTTTTAAATATATTATATTAAAACATGAATAATTTGGGCAAAGTGTGAGAAAATATTACATTAATATATTGAAAACTAAACAAATACATACTAGAAACTCAAATAATTTAAGTCAGGTATAGTACCTGTAGGGTACTGGTTCCAGGACCTGATCCCATCCCCAGTGGATACTCAAATCTAAGAATGCTCAAGTTCCTTATATAAATGACACATTATTTGCATACAACCAACATACATCCTCCCATATACTTTTTTTTAAAAAAATGTTTAAGTTGTAGATGGACGCAATATTTTTTTTTTAACTTATTTTTGTGTGGTGCTAATGATCAAACCCAGTGCCTCACACATGGTAGACAAGAGCTCTACCACTGAACTACAACCCCAGCTCCCATATACTTTAAATCATTTTTAGACTACTTGTAAAACCTTATACAGCCAGAGGTGACAGCACACACTTGTAATCCCAAGAACCCGGGAGGCTGAGGCAAGAGGATCACAAGTTCTAGGGCAACCTCAGCAACTTGGTGAAATCTTAAGAAACTTAGTGCAACCCTGTTTCAGTATAATTTTCCATAGTTAGAATCAATAAAATATACTCAAAAGTGAAAAATCAAGATGGACAAGGTGGCGCAAACTGTAATCCCAGTGGCTTGGGAAGCTGACGCAGGAGGATCTCAATTTCAAAGTCAGCCTCAGCAAAAGTGAGGCACTAAGCAACCCAGTGAGACTCTGTCTCTAAATAAAATACAAAACAGGGCTGGGGATGTGGCTCAGTGGTTGCGTCCTCTTGAGTTCAATCCCCGATACCAAAAACAAAACAAAACAAAAAAAGTAAGAAATTACGTAAGTTCCAATACAAGTTTACTATCTGATTAAATGGAGCCACCTGGGATACACTTTAAAAAAAAAAAAAAAAACAGATTTAAGATTTAAAATAAGTTGTCTGTGATGAGAGGGAAATGAAAAATAGGGGTGAAATGGAAATGTCTGCTTTTGTACTAAACAATAAAAAAAAAAGGGAAAGAGGTGAATAGTATATACTTATAACAACTGTGAAAGCTAAGCTCACCTGCAGAAACTGTGTGAACTCTGTGTAGTTAAGATGCTTCTTCCGATTATGCCCAAAATGCAGTCGGATAAACTCACAGTCCCAGTTAAAAGGGATATGATGATGAATAATAGTCTGTCCAAAAATTTCCTTGACATTTTCTTAAAAGGGAAAACAAAAATAAATCAATTATACTTTGAATAAGTAGTTTAATCCACTGCAATGTTCCTACAGAAAAAAATTAAGAAGTCAATATCATCTGCTTCTATTAAGATTAACTGCAAAAATTTTTTGTGCCCAGAAATCCATGCACAGGAACACAATTAATACAAAATATAATTTTACACTTAAGATTGTGTACCATTACATATAAGGCCATGAGATTCTTAATTTCTCTTGATTTAATTTTAATTAAGAAATGATTTATATCTTGTACTATAAATGACTGCTACTTTACATTCCAGTATAAAATCAATAGTGTTTTCCCGGTTCCTCAAGGAGTCAAATTAAGCCCTTTATCAGAAGCATGAATACCTAAATTACAGTATAATCCAATATTTGTCATACTAAGTATGGTTTGATTGAGGCTTGATTATTACATTCACACTAGCCTGAATATGTCTATTGAAGATAGGTATAAGAAATACTACCAAAAGCATATCATTAGCTCAGCAGCAAGCACCTTATTAAAAGCTTCTGATATTGTCAAAAATATGGTCTTGACACAAAGCTTCAAAATCCCCATAAATCCATGATTATTAGTCTGCACTATTAAAATATTTTAAGATAAGTGAAATTAGTGATTCACTTTTAAATAAAGCTCCAAACATAGTACACTAACTTTTAGATAGGAACCAGTCACGCTGTGTAATATACAACCAAAACTCTCTGGCAGCTTGTCTTCATGCACTAGTAATGTCATTCACTTTCCTACACAGTTTTACATTTACTGTAAAAGTCAATCCACAAATGACTGGTACTTTAACAAGCATAGACTGGATAGACTAATTTAGAAGCTCATGCCAGAAAAAAAAACAAAACAAAAAAAAAAACTCATTAACAAAGTTAAGAAAGCAGGAAGCCTATTTTACTGATATCTTAAGAGCAAAATTATTTTCAAATGTCAATTTTATTAGTGAAATGGTTTTACCATAATAGCTATCAATTATACTAGAGAATTAGTAAATACAAGTTTATGTTTTATAATCTCCTCCAATTTTGCTATTTTTCCTAATTTTTGCAAATTCTTTGGATAAGATACTGATCTCAGACTGTAAATGATTGAATGGATTCCCTTTGTTTTATACACCCCTTTTTCTTAATAACACCATTATAACTGGGGTAGGAGAGTGTAAAAATTCTAAGCTGGAAATCCTACCAGTCTGGACCCAATGTAACAGCTCTGAGTAGATTACAGCAATCAGCAAAGTTGGAAGAAGGCATTGGATGTCACTGGGGAGATGGGATTCTCATTTTTTCTTTCAAATGGAATGCAGGATTCATTTCTTGCCTAAGTAGCAACAGTATTTCAGAGTTTTCAAATCATGTCAAGTATTTTCACCTTAAACACAAATGAAATGCTATATGGGCTTTTGTTCCTAAAAAGCAAAGAAATCATAGCAATTCATGGGATCCAGGTTTCTAACCAACACAAAAAAATTATCATTAAAACTACACGAAACATAATATTGCAAAATATGCTAAAGTTTATAAGATAATTAAAATAATAAGAGTCAGAAAAATATTTGACAAAAAATATTAATGGAAGATCAGCAAACATTTTTAAAATCCCAATTTAATTAGCTGCTTCTATTCACAAATCAATTAATGTAATTGCTTATTTTTAAGACCTAACAAAAGTGTTCAACTAAAAAAAAAATTTAAATTAATTGAAAACTGAATAGAATAACTTAAATTTATTTAATCAAGATTAGTTACAGATAAGTATGATGGCACAGGCTTGTAATCCCGGTTATTTTGGAGGTGAAAGTTAGATGATCAAAAGTTTAAGGACAGCCTGGGCAATTTAATGAGACCCTGTCTTAAAATAAAAAATAGAAAAGGCTGGGGATGTTGCTCTGTGGTAGAATGTCCCTGTTTTAATCCCAAGTTACCATCAGGGACAGGAAATACATTATTAGAGAATAAGTTATTTCATGGTAACAAATTTTTCTAAAGGTTACAACTCCCAAAATCTAATTATTTGATAAGAAATATATGTATTGCTCCCTTGATAATTTTATGCAAGGGAGGATAAAACTGAACCCCTTTTATGATGAGAAAATATCAGAATCTAAAATGTCAAAGATTCAAAATCCTTCAAACTAGGAAAACTTACCTAGAAAATTTTTTCTATTACAAAAAAATTTTCTGATAAATTAATTTGCCATGTATAATTTATATCTGGAAAATAGCTCTATAAAATAGTTTTAACTGGAAATCCTATTTTACAAATTTCCTAGTAATTTCTAAATAAGATATATAATATTTTTGAAACAATTAAAATAATGGCCTAAATTACTCATAGCAATCTCTTCATCACAGAAGCATCATTTTCCATGTTATTTGTTTGGACATTTCCTATTTCTCCCAAAGTGATCTCTTGACAGCTTTGTATATGATTTTATTATGATCATTATTATATGCTGTGGTTTATTAACCAGATACTTTTAATTATTTTATAGTCATATCACAGGCTTCAACTGTAGTTAGTAGGACTAATAAAATTTTAAATCTACTTTGTTACCTCTTAAGATGCATTCTACTTCTCTTTTATAATTATTTATACTACCAATTGACTGAAGCCAATTTAGAAATGTCACAGAAGTAATCAGCACAACTATTGTTTTAAAGTCCAATTCATAATCACCACTTTTTAAAAAAAAAAAACTGGGATGTGCTTATAAAAAAATTATATAAAAGCTCCAGAATTGGAAAGCTTATACTTGTGTGAGGCAATAAGTCAAATAGCTGATGTTATTATCTTACTTGGTTTATCACCAATAATTTCAAATATATCCACAACATCTGACTGGAACTGCAAAGCAAGTTTCCAACCCAAAGAGAATCCCGTCTTTCCAGTGGCAAACAAGGATCTTTAGCTGTAAATAGCACTCCTTTAGAGTGTTATTTCAGTAGCCACAGTTCTAAACTGGATGAAAGGGATATAAGAGTCATATCTACTGGCAGCAAGATAACCATCTAGTATTTTATACCAGGTTGGCATTGCTAAGAGAAACAGGAATCCATTCCTTTTCTGACATCTAGAAAACAAGAGACCACTTTTTCACTTCCTGCAGAGAATGGGCTTACAAAAGGGATTGTTTGATAATTCCATTGAAAAGGGAATTGGGGCCAGATACAAAAATAGCTTGTCATTAATGTTCTCTTTGCTCAAAGGAGAGGAGCACAATGATTTGTCAGGAAGGCAGGTAATGGTGACAACTGTGATTAAATAAAAATGTTCACAGATGTATATAACATTAGTCAGTTTAGCTGTATCAGTAACTTATAATGATTGGACTAGACGAAATACACATTGAAGCATATATATTTATGTAAATATGTCTTAACAGAGGTTTCAATTTCCCCAGTAGCCCACACTGTGTCTCCCCATCTCATCCACCCTCATCCCTCCCCTGGTTCTTATGGGAGCTTCCTACTGGTCTTGTTCACCTTTCTGCAGTACAAAATTACCTCTGACCGGGGCTGGCACTCTTCTCCAAGACTGCCACCATGCCTGTTCCATGAATGAGCCTGGAAGGAGCTGCTGTACCAACGGTGTGGCCAGAGAACTCCTCCTGTAGGTATACAAGCCATCAGCCCTGTGACACAGCCCACCTACCATCAGCCCAACTTGACATCCTGATTCCAGGATTCCAGCCCAGCAGGAGCCACTGCTTCCAACTTATAGACTTGAGACAAAATATTCTGATTGTGAGAGGGGAAAATTCCTCAATAACTGAGTTTCACCAGCATAGTTCTTTAAGTGAAGTCAGAGAAGCTTTTAGGACACTCATCATGTACAGTGAATATCCTTGTGTATAAGTGAACAAACACAATGGTGAGACTTGTGGAAGTGAAGAATTTCTCGGTGAAGGAAAATTTGTAGAAAAGAGTAGGAACAACTAAGTGGCCAAAAAAGAAAATAAAGGAAAACAAAGAACAACAACAGAAAGACCAACAACAGGAAACTTGTAGAGGAAGTTCTAACCAACATAGCATATAGACTCAGTCCCAGACTGCAGGGTTCTACTCCCAGGTATGCCATTAGTGTCCTAGGTGAGCCCCCCTGTTTCTGTGAGGGAAAAGTATTTCTATTATCTCTTTACCTACCTCCAGAAGGGAATATTGTATGATCAGTCAATAAAGTAGTCTCTCTGCCAAAAATATGTAAAGATCCATTTCTCAGGAAAGATAAATTCACATTTAAAGAACATCTATGATTACAGAAGCCAGCTGTTTCAACAGTCTACCATCAAATAGCATAAAAAAAAACACACACACACACTGTGTCCTTTTTTTAACCTCAAACTCTAAATCTACTCCAGTATCCTTGAGTATTTTTTTAGAGGAGATGGGGCGCGTTCAGGGTGGTATGGCCGTAGACTCCTTGAGTATTTTTTAAAAGGATCTTGTGATGTCTGAAAATGACATGAAGCAAAGAATCTCAAAAATTCTTCCTGATTTAATTGAACACTTAGGTGAAGCTCTACTTCATTCCAAATTATATTAGCTGTCTGTCACCTTTAGAATTTCATATTTTTCCATGCCTATGTCTGTTTCCATGGAGAAAGAGTACAATATTTTTCATATCTATACTTCTATCTCCTAATCCTTTAAATTAAAGCAGTAGTTATGCCTAAACCACTCCAATATATTCTCCCTTTAGGGAAAAAGAAGCACAAATGGAACATATTTTAATTTGCTATACATTCTATAGCCCACACAGTACTAAATTAAACGGTATCCCTGCTTTTTGAGGGTTATATTAGTCAGGGGGTGAGGATATACCTTTAGAAAAGATCACTTTTAAGAGTTCCCATTCCTAAGCAAACACTTTGGGTAACAATGATGATGAGTGTTTAATAGAGAACTCAGAACACATAATACATATCATATTCACTGATGAGTTAATAAGCTTCTTTTTGCTGTTTGTTTTTTTTAACAATTACTCTTTTTTAAAGCAACAGACGTTTTCTTTTAATTTTGGACAAATGCATGGTAGCTATTGACAACAAAATGTAGTATAACCACCTAACTAGGTGACCTCAACCTAATGATATCAAGTATGCTATTCAGTGGATGATAGGAAGATCAAGGCAAATTTGCACTGCACCCAGCACACACCAGTCATGCAACGGCCTCTACAAGGCTCATGCCACCTGGCAGTAACAGATACACAAGCCATTAAGTAATTACCTACAGCATGCATTAGAAGTTTTATTAAAAGAACATCAAAGAGGAAACAACTAATAGTTTATTTACTCTTAAAAAAAAAAAAAAAAAAACCTCCAGAACCCTTTTTCTGAGCTTTCATTTTCTGAAATGCATCACCAAGACCCCAGCATAAAATCCTCTCTCCCAGAATGAAAGTACCTCAAACAAATAAAACTTGTCTAGCACTCAAGTAAATAAATGTTGTTCAATACTGCCATTTGTATAAATACTTGCAAAGATACACAACACAGTTTAAGTATATAACTTGATGTATATAAAAACCATATCTAAAAAAACAAAAGCATAGATGAGAACAATATATATACGTACACAGAAAACATTAACATTATCATTGCAGTCCACAAGAGATACTGATAGCATAATAGTTTTCCCCACACCATTGTGCCTGGAATCCAATATTCTCTCCTAACTTTCTTCCCTTATGTGCACCAAAGAAAACTATAAATAGCTCCAAACTAGAAAACATAGGCCACTTGTTGGAAAAGATTTAACTCCAGTTAGAATGAATCTAAATTTTCCTTTTACCTAAACATGTATCTACCAATATATTAGCACAATTCAATATATTAAGTGGGTACAAACATAAAAACTGACCTTTATCACAGATCCAAAATCCTATAAAATAAACTGCAAGTTAATTATTTCCTTATGCAGAAATTCTGTAGTCTTGAATACAGCCTGAAATAAGTGGGGTCTTAGAAATCTTGTTAAAATGGCATTTCCTATAAGTAATAGTTTCAATGATTATCTTCTTTTATTAAAGTACAAAATTAGTCTTCTCTCCTTTATTATAATTCCTTTCAATTTAGCTAAAAATATTTTGTTCCAAAATGAGGCTGAGGATATAAATCAGTGTTAGAGAGCTTGCCAGAATGTATAAGGCCCTGGGTTCAAATCTAAGCACTGTGGAAAAAAAAAAATCATTTTTTAAAAAGTGTCTAAAAACAGATCCTCAAAAATGTGGAGACAGGACAGGAAAGGGAAATGGTCAAAGTCCCTAAGAAATAGGTGACCACCATCAAGAAAGCCATATAGCTGGCCTACCCCAAGAACAATGTCAAAAGTGGGTATAACTTTTTCTTCTTCCATAATAATCCTGTCTCTAGATTATGGAGCAGAAAAATGAAAGCAAGATTCTAGAGGGTTCAAATGTTCTTCAGTCCATACCAGGTGCAAAAAAACTAAACCAATTTACTTTGTTTTAATTCTATTTCTTGAAATCCTAACTCACAAATCATAGTCTAAAAGAAAAATAAAAAAACTATAAAAGAACAAATTTGGGATTTAATAAGTAAAAGCTTTTATTTGCAAGAAATAAAGTGTACATGAACCATTCAGCTACTTCCAACACTCATTTTAATCTACTAATCAACAATGGTATGGGTCTCTGTTGTTGGTTTGTTGGGTAAAGTGACTTGAGTGATTTATTTTTAAAAATAGAAGCTGGGAAAAGCAATCAATTGGAGGTGACATGATACCAAGGTAGAGGGACAAAATAAATCAGAATTTGGTTTTAAGAAATCTAAGTCTTAATGCACACAGAATAGAAGCACAGGTATGCTGTCACCAACACAGACATTTGAATCAAATTATTTCCCAAGATTTTGTGTACCACATTTGGAAGTGAGACACATGAGCATGTGTGATACTTACTGAAAATAGAAAATGCAGCAATTATTAGTAGTACAAGGTTGACACTGAATGATGAGATGATATAGGTTTTGTGCTTTAAACTATAGAATCTGGGTGCTTACATGGAAAGTCAACATTCTTTAGAAGGCAAAATGGCGAGAGAGAATGAATTCTCCAAAGCAAGGAGAATGCCAAAATACATGCAGAAATTTAAAGAGCTTTGCATAGTATTTATTGAGGAAAGTCTTCTCATATAAAGGACAATTGGATCAATGGGCAGAGGAAGAAAAACAGTCGAGGCCAAGCTGGAAAATGTGTTCACCAAAGTTACAGCCAAGGTGCCACTGGTCTTTCCAATATTTTCTCCCAGTCTTACCATTGTTGTGATAATTCTTCCTTCAGGTTTAAGTAAAGGACGTGTTTTATAACTCAAACATCACAATGAATAAACATTGAGTTTTGTGGCTCAGGGAAAGCCTTATTTTCAAGGGTTTCTCCATAAATATTCATGCTAATGCATATCATAAAAAGATGAATCAAGTTCATCAATTTCAGTTCTGCAAGAGGAAAAAGTTCTAGAGATCTGTTTCACAGCAATGTGAACACACTAAACACTACTGAACTGTACACTCAATAATGGTTAAGATGGTAAATTTTATTTTTTGTTTTTTAACCACAACAAAATACTTTCAAATATTAAAAAATGATAATAATAATAAGAGGGCAGTTCAACATCCTTGAACATGCTACACTAGTTTTACTGAAAAGCCTGTTACAGGAAAAATTAGCCAATACTTTCACTAAGCATAAACTAATTTCTACAAATAAGTACCTTTAAAAACTAATGCAGACCACATATAAAAATCCTAGTTTGCATACTTGTAAGGCATCAACAATGTGTTAGATTGTGTCTACCAAAGAACTTAAGTCTATTTCTATATCCAAGTCAGATGGTTATTTTAATATTATAGCCCTGTCTCCTAAAACCAAAACTCTAAAACAGAAGGTTCAGAGAATACTAATTAATTTTATCTTAACTTCCTCCTTTAGTTTCATTGTTGGTGTTAAAAATGGCATAGTAGCAATTTTCCAAAGATGCTACAGAGAAGGTTTAAATTCCCTATCCAAAAATCCCATAAAGAATGAGAAGGTTGCTCCAGTCTACTTTATAAAGAATTTTGCACAGGCTGGTCCAGTACAAGAAAATTTTGCAACACCTATTTTAGGAATTCGAAAGTGTCAGTGACCTAATAAGCTGAACCAACAGCATTCCTAGATTCCTTAATTTTTGAAGTAGTCTAACAATTTGAAGAAAATAAAACCACTTTTATCTTTGTAAACCTCTTAGGAAATTAATACTTCTCTTATTGACTAGGTTCTAAATAAGCATAAATCTATAATCAGTTATTAGATTTAGCAATTAAAGATTGGACCAACATCATAACTTTACTTATCATTATAATCTTTTTTTTCCCTTACCAAATGTCACCTCTCCATTTCCACTCTTGTCAAATAATTGGAAAGCCACTATGAACATGGAATCTGGAGCACATAAAACAGATTCAAATGCCAAAAACTCTTGATAGGAGATCAACCTGGAACAAATATAAAATGTTACCGGCTAGTAAAGAAAGGGAAAATATCAGGCAAATTAATTAATCTGCCTTTACTTTATGAACTGTAGCTCAGAGTAACCAAATACCAATGAAGGGTGTGTATATTCCAGGGAGGAATGGAATATTATCCTTTTTTAAGGCCCTAACAAATTAACGAACTAATCAACAGATACTACCATCACATAAGGAGAGAAAGCCACACCAAAAATAATTAAATCTGAAAGTGATCAAGTCTCTAGATCATAATTTTTCAATCTCAGCACTGCTGACATTTCAAGCTGGATAATTCTTTTGGTCTTGTTGGTCTCCTGGGCATTGTAGCTATTTACATGCTATAAAACATGGAGGAGAGAGGAGCAAAGCACAAAAGAACATGATATTGACTACTCTTAAACCAGCTTTTTCCTCTTACTTAACCAAATAACTAAAACTTGTCTGAATGAGTTCTACTCATTCACTTGATTTTACTTCTTCATGGGTAATTATAAGTAATATTATGTATTATAATTTCAAATGACACACCTATACAACTCATCATCAAAAGTACAAAAGAATCAAGGAACATAGCTCATATGTGGGGAAAATGTACCAATTGGCCAGGCATGGTGATGCATGCTTGTAATCTCAGTGGCTTGGAAGACTGAGGCAAGAAGATTGCAAGTTCAAAGCCAGCCTCAGCAAAAGCAAGGTGCTAATAAGCAACTCAGTGAGACTCTGTCTCTGCATAAAATACAAAAAAGGGCTGGAGGTGTGATTCAGTGGTAGAGTACTCCTGAGTTCAATCCCCAGTACCCCCCGTCCCCCACAAAAAAGTACCAATTGAACAATTTTAATCTTTCCTCACTGCCCTGGGTAATACAGAAAGAGGGAGAAAAAAGAATATCTATTTTTACAAATGATTATAAGAAAAAGGGACTAAAAATTAGGAGAACTAATTTTGTGTTATTGGGAAAGTCAATCTCTTTGGGCCTTATTTTCCTCTATGTGTTAAATGAGGAAAGATTGACTTATTTGAATGAGTCAAACACTGAAGCTTTTGATTCTATTGAATTAAAATTATTTTTAAAAGACTTAATAATGATACTAAGGTTTTTGAAGTCATAGACCTTTATGAAAATCTAAGATTCTTCCCAGAAAACTGTAGATATGAATCCACTCATACTTTATTATATTTCAGGAACTTCAGGAATCTCTGGAGAAGACTTATGAAGAGACAACTAAGAACCTATGTGTTTCTAGAAAACTCCACCTTTGCTTCTAGAAATAATTCACATTTCATACAGTCATTTATAATTTTTATAACCTAACTCTATGAGTCAGGTTTCCTACACGATCCCTGTCTGATTCCAAAGATTTGGGAGGAAGGGATTAAGAAATTTTAAAAATTGAAATAGAACATTTTTTTTAAAATATTTTTTAGTCGTACACAAAAAAATACCTTTATTTATTTTTATGTGGTGCTGAGGATTGAACCCAGTGCCTCACACATCCCAGGCAAGCCCTCTGCCACTGAGCCACAACACCTGCCCACATATTTATTATTATTATTATTATTATTATTATTATTATTATTATTATTTAACTAAAACAGGTACTTTAAAAAGTAAACTCTGGGGCTAGAGATATAGCTCAGTTGGTAGAGTACTTGCCTCGCATGCACAAGGCCCTGGATTCAATCCCCAGCACCAAAAAAAAAAAAAAAAGAAGTAAACTCTGGTAATCCCAGCAGCTCAGGAGGCTGAGACAAGAGGATCACAGGTTCAAAGTCAGTAACTTGGCAAGGCTGTAAGAAACCTAGTGAGACCTTGTCTCTAAATAAAAAATAAAAAGGGCTGAGGATGTGGCTCAGTTGTTAAGCCCTTGGGTTCAATCCCAGTACCCTCCTCCCAAAAAAGTAAACTCTGCTCAACATTATTAGATTTTGCCACTAGACAAAACACATTACTGATCTGTTTTGTTCTGGCAACTTTAGCCCTTGCCCTTGATTACACTTGGCCACATAAAAAAAAAAAAAAAATCCTACTTTAATAATGCAGCTTGACTTAGAAAACCTCATGCTTTAAATAAGATACCCTACTGAAATGGACAAGAGTAGATGGTCACAAAAGAAAGCAACCGAAAAGATATGGATATTTAAAAGCAGACCTCAGATCAAATTAATAATGCATTGATATTTTCTAAAAGAACTTAATGTATATGTAAACTTTAATATTCTGAAGGAATTCTAATTAAAAATAAATTTTCATAGGTATTACTGTCTAATCACTATTGAGACTCTAATTAAATGATCCAGTGACTTAGGTGATTTGACATTTTTAGAGACTAGACAATACTATACATGTTCCCTGATACCTGACATTTATAATGATTCAAAAATCTTTCCCATTCATAAAATATGCATTTGACAAACATTTGTTGAATATAGTAAATTTCATGCACTGTGCTAGGTTCTATGGGACAATAAAAATGAATACAATGTTAGTCCTGTACTCAACCTTTATTTACTTTAGCCCTCTCAATAGTCACCTAATCAGATTTCACTGTGTGCAAGTCTTGTCCCACTCCAACCTGCCATTTTTCTAAATGGGTTGTGGCTCACTGGTAAGGCGCTCACGTAGTATGTACAAGGCCCTGGATTCGATCCTCAGCACCACATAAAAATAAATAAACAAAATAAAGACATTGTGCTCAACTACAACTAAAACATAATAGTAGTAGTAGTAGTAGTAGTAATAATAATAATAATAATAATAATAATAATATTTTCTTAGTTGTTGAAAGACCTTTATTTCATTTATTTATATGTGGTACTGAGAATCAAACCCAGTGCCTCATACATGCTAGGCAAGCACTGTATCACTGAGCTACAACCCCAGGCCCAATGGTAATAATTTTTAAAGACTCCTTGCTGCCTAATTTTTCAGTGTTTTTCACACAAGCACCTCTACAGGTAGAAAAGCAAGCCTGGACGCTTGGAAGTCTAAGGCTGTAGCTTGAAACTGCCATAGTAAGCAAATATTTTCTTTATATAATTCATACAAATATTGCCTTTGCCCCATACTATATGGAGCATATGATTTTAATAAAAATAATGGTGACTTTCCCCCCTTGAGTTAAATAAGATGACACTCTAATAAGATGACTTCATATCCATATGCTTACCAAGCTAAAAGTATCTCTCCAAGACTAAGAGTCACAAGCTTGCAGGATATAGTCAAAGTTCAGCACACAAAGTCTCCAACTCCACTTCAACAATAAAAAGCAATGCCACAACTGCACTGGAGTGGAACACAATCCTGCCCACACTGCTGCTCACACACATGCACACACCCTCCATGTTTCATGCCACTCATGCTCCCTTACCTGAAATTCTTCTCCCTATTTGTCCAACTACCAGCAAGCTCGTATTCATTTTGACAAATTTTACTCAAATATCGCCTCTTTCATGATTCTGACTTGACCCCAAAACAGTTAGCCATGTTTTCTTGGGTACCTTCTGTATGTTCCATATATATCTATTAGAGTGTCTTATTCCAGAGTATTGCTGTATTTTTCTTTGCTTGGTCATCTTCATTCCTACTAGGTTACAAGCTTCTTCTTAAGGTCAGAACTTCATTTTATTTGTTTATTTTTAATAAGATTCAACAGTGCCTGACGAATGATGCTTGTTAACACAATATTTGCCAAGTAAACAAATAGACAAATTAATAAATTTGTCTAAACTCTTCTTTGGTTTATTTTTCATCATAGCACTTATAATCTCATAACATACTATCATTTTTAAAATTTTGTTTATCTCCTTTCTGTGGTTTATTCACTGATAAGTTCTAGCACAAAGAACAGTGCCTGAAGTAACTGTAGGCACTCATTATTTATTGAATGAATGGATGTCAGAAATTACACCTAATTGCCCAGAACCCATCCTACTCAGACTATTATAAAACATACTATTCCCATATAATTTTTTTCAAAAAGAAAGAAATGCCAGTATCTTTCATAATGGCAGTAAATAATGCTATTTTTTATAAACTTCAAAGAAAGATATGGGTTTACTAATATTAAAATTCTAAATATTCATAAGTAATATTTTTGTTTTTAAAAAATTTTAATAACATATTTCAGAACATTAATTTTTAAAAAATATATAAAAGTTCTCACCCATCCTTGGTTTGATCGGCTACTCCTGCCAAGAGCTGCACAATCTTTGGGTTGCTATTTGGATCATTATACAGTCCAAGATAGCGCTGGACAAAATCTTCTGGGGTCATGTAATGTTCTCCATCGACCTCAGTACTGGCATACTAAAACATAAATAAATAAAGCATATTGAAAAATTAAAATTTGACTAATAAGTTAAAATTAATCATTATCATTTTATAACCATCAAATGTTTTATGAAAAGGTAAATTAAAGGCCAGTATTAAAATAAAATAAGAGCCAGGCACTGTGGCACACACCTGTAATCCCAGAGGCTCAGGAGGCTGAGGCAGGAGGATTACAAGTTTAAAGCCAGCCTTAGCAACTTATCAAGGCTCTAAGCAACTTAGCAAGACCCTGTTTCTAAATAAAATATAAAAACAGGCTGAGGGGGCTAGGGCTGTAGTACAGTGACAGAGCGCTTGCCTAGCATGTATGAGGTTCTGGGTTCAATCCTTAGCATCACATAAAAATAAAACAAACAAAATAAAGGCATTCTGTCCAACTACAAATACAAAAAAATTTTTTTAAAAAACAAAAAACAAATGGGCTGGGGAAATGACTCATTGGTTAAGTGTTCCTGGGTTCTACTCCTGGTACCAAAGAAAAGAAAGTAAGAATAATGAACATAGAATTTTTCTCTGGATAGTGAAAATGAAACACCCAGAGACTAATGTAAGCCAGGCACAGTGGCACAACAACTCTGGAGGCTAAGGCAGGAGGATTGCAAGTTCAAGACCAACCTCAGCAACTTAGCAAGACCTGACAACTTAGCGAGACCCTGTCTCAAAATAAAATATTAAAAAAGGACTGGGGAATGCAGCTATGACTTAAGGTTTAAGTCCTTGGGTTCAATCCCCAGTACCATAGGGGGTCGAGGGAGAACAACATGAAATACTGACAACATGCTATAACATGGATGAACCTTGAAAATATTCTAAATTAATGAACCAGACACAAAAGGCACATATTACTGGATCCAATCTACATGAAATGTCCACAATGGGCAAATCCACACAATCAGAAAGAAAGAGTGGTTGCCAGGACTGGGAGAAAGAGAAAATGGGAGTCAATTGCTTAATGGAGATGTGTTAGAGTCTGTAAACAAGTCTGGATGGCGCCTGGCAAAATGCCAGAGGGAGTGGTTTGTGAAGTAACACCAGCAAGCCATTAAGTGTGGACATTCCTTATTAGTTGACTGATGTATCTAGTTTATGCTAATTAAGATAAGCTGTGTAAAATGTATAAATACTGCTCCTGTCCTACAATAAACGGCTTCTACTCCTGCTGTTATCAATCTACACAAGTTGTTCGTCACCCCCCGGTTATTTTGCTGCAGCCGTACTCTGGCAGAGATGGGGTCACTCTTTGGGTCACATATTATAAATGTACTAAAAAAAAATTTAATTATATATTTTAAATGGCAACAAAAGGGAATTTTATGTTAAATGAATATTTTGTCTCAATATATAAGCTTGGTTCAGTGGCACACCTATAATCACAGCAACTCAGGCAGCTGAGGCTGGAGGATCACAAGTTTGAGGCCAGCCTGGGCAACTTGGCAAGACTCTGTCTCAAAATAAAATTCTAAAAAAGGGCTGGGGATATAGCTCAATGGTAGAGTGCCTGACTAGCACACATAAGGCCTTGGGTTCCATCCCCAGTACAGGGTTGGGGGAGGGAGTGTGAGTGTAAGCAAATATAAGAGATATCAGAAAGACTAAAAAAAGCGAATGAGAAGCCAGGACCCAAAAAGGAGAAAATAATATCTACTGTCTATAAGAGTGGGAGGAAGGCTGGGGATGTGGCTCAAGCAGTGGCGTGCTCGCCTGGCATGCGTGCGGCCCAGGTTCCATCCTCAGCACCACATACAAAGATGTTATGTCCGCCGAAAACTAAAAAATAAATAAATATTAAAAAAAGAAAAAAAAAAAAGAATGGGAGGAGAGGAAGACATAAAAAACCCTAGATGTGAACTGAATGAGAAAGGTCTAAGAAACAATATCTTCCATTTGTTCTAAATTTCAATAGTTGGGGGGAAAAAGAAACAAATTAAAAATTCTACCTTTTATGTCATTAGTATTTTTTTTTTCTGATACTGGGGACTGAACCCAGGGGTGACTTTACCACTGAGCCATACCCACCCCAGTCCTTTTTTATTTATTCATTTATTTTTTTTTGAGAGAAGTTCTCATTAAGTTGCTAAGGCTAGCTTTGAACTTACAATCCTCCTGCCACAGTCTCCCCAGTAGCTGGGACTATAGGCATTCACCTCTGAACCTGACAATGATTTTTGTTTTGTTTTTTTAATACCTGCCTATCAAAGAAACTGGTTATTATTTTAAAGGTACAATGTACTACGGCATGACAAACAACTAAAGCTCCCCTCTTTGAGTAGTAGCAGATTGATTTAGTTATTTCAGTCAACCAACAACACAGTAAGATCAAAAAATGTCCCAAAAGCAAAGGGAATTATAGGGCTCACTAAATGTCAAGCACAAAAAAACGAACAAAAATCTATTACCAATGCCTACCCACTTTTTTAGAACATCAGAGGAGAACAACCCTAAAAGTTTAGGAGAGAAAACCAGGTCACCAGAAAGTTCTGACAGAAATTATTTCCAACCTAGAATTCTAAACTGACCCAAACTTTCAATCAAATATAAGGTTATGGCAAAAGTACTTTGAGGGACTAGGGATGCAGCTCAGTGGTAGAGTGTTTACCTAACATGCATAAGGCCTTGGGGTTCATACCCCAGCACCATCAAAAGCCAAAAAAAGATAGAAAAAAAAGTACTTTAAGATAACTGTGTTCTCAGTATTTTGTTCCTACCTTTTCAGGAAGCTGTAGGAGGGTTGTTTTGTTTTGTTTTGTTTTTAAAGGAAATGATTTATAATCCCTACTACTCAGGAGGCTAAAGCAGGAAACTCACAAGTTTGAGGCCAGCCTTAGCAACTTAGGGAGACCCTATATCAAAAGTAAGGGTTGGGATGTAGTTAAGTGATAAAGTGTCTCCTGGATTCACTCCCTGTTACCAAAAAGAAAGAGTAAACTAAATAAAAGGAAGATGTAGGACTCAGGAAACAGGTGATCCAACATTGGAAAGTGACCTAGGGAATCCCAGGACATCTTTGCTGCAGGCTTCAGCCTTTTGGAGTTCCTAGTCCTGTCTAGGACAGATACAAAGACTCTAGGGAAAAAAAATCACTAGGGAAAATGGAATGTTAGGTTATTTGGTTATTGGGAAAACAGCACTAAGAGGAGTATAAGTTTTTGTTAAAATATGACCTTCTAAATGAGATCTACTTTTATCACCCTATTTAATATTACAACCCATTCCTGTATCTATGTACTCCCCAACTCCCCAACTTACATTGCCCCTTTACCCCCTTAGCATCTGTCACCTTCTAACATACTACAGGGTTTACTTATTATGTTTTACTGTACATCGCTCATCTAGAATGTGTCAGAAGGAAAAAATTCTTTGTCTAGTTTGTTTATTAATATATCCAAAGTACCAAAACTAATACCTGGCCCTCAGTAAATAGCTATAAAATTAATGAATGGGTAATAGGCATATAAATAACTAAGCACATGAAAAATGTGCTAACTTTTAACAATACAAAAGTATTTTTTGTACAAAAATAGGAAATATTATGCACAACTTGGCTCTAAATAAACAGAATAGTCATCATAATGTAAATACTAAATATTGATTTAATATAAATTAGAAATATATTGAGAGGCCAATTGTGGTAGCACATACTGGTAATCCCAGCATCTTCGGAGGCTGAGGCAGGAGGATCACAAGGTCAAAGACAGCCTTAGCAACTTAACGAGGCCTGTCTCAAAATAAAAAATAAAAAGAACTGGAGATATGGCTCAGTGGTTAAGCACCCCTGGGTTCAATCCCTGGTACAGAAAAAGAAATATACTGAAAGGAATGGGAGAAGAAAATGGGAGAATAAGGAATAAGGAAACTAAGTCAAAATTTTCTGGAAATATGAAGGACAATATCAAAATAGCTAATAGTTATAAGTGGTTGCTTCTGATAAGCTAGATGAAGGAAAAGGATCAAAGGAAAGGACTGCCAGTTTGCTTTTTGGCTAGATATTTCAAATATCTATGAATCTGAATAAACAAAGCCATCTGCTCTTTCAACCAGAAGAAAATTAAATAAGAAATGTTTCCTTTGTCTTATTCTGAAAACAGAATAAGAGACTATCACAGGAAGTGCTATATCAACCTGCATGAGAAGTAGTCCAAAGTAGACTTTTTTTTTAACAAGCTAATGCTATCCAAAACACTCAGGAGCCAGGGTGGTGTCACACACCTGTAATCCCAGCAACTTGGGAGGCTGAGGCAGGAGGATCACAAGTTCAAAGCCAGTCTCAGCAATTTAGTGAGGCCCTAAGCAACTCAGTGAAACTCTGTCTCTAAACAGAATACAAAAAAAGGGCTGGGAATGTGGCTCAGTGGTTAAATGCCCCTGGGTTCAATCCCCTGTACCAAAAAAAAAAAAAAACTCAAGAAATACGACCTCAAATGAGTCAATTTCTTTCTATATGACTATAAAAGCCAATCCTTTAGCAATCTTGGTTTTAAACTTTGACTCTACTACTAACCCATTGTGAGTCCTTAGGAAACAAGAACATTTGTCTTCTCAGTCCTCTAGATATTTCACAAATCTATATAATGAAATAATCCTTGATGGCTCAAAACAATAGCTATGCAAACATATAATAAAGAAAAACAAACTGTAAGATATTAATACTTATGGAGTCCACTGACACCTATCACTTGCTACTTCCTTCTCTCTTCACTATGTGACATAATTGGACACATTCTACCCAGATCTCAAAGATCAGGCCAGAGTGAAAAAAGGCACGGTAGTTGGGGAGATAAGTACAAGTGGAAAGAGGGATCAACACAAAGAAATCTAAAAGTGGAATTTAAGGAGAACAACAAATCTACCACAACGAGATATTAGTATCAAAAACTAAAAAATGCTATGAGAAATGTATTTATGGAAACCCAAAAGATTCTAAGAACAGGTGGGATGAGGAGTAGGGAGAGGAAAGGAAAAATAAAATTCAATTTCAA